AATTTAATTTAATTTAATTTAATTTAATTTAATTTAATTTAATTTAATTTAATTTAATTTAATTTAAACAACTGCTCCTGCTGTTGTTTGCTATCAACACCAGGAATGTGCTAGGATGGAGATGACTTGGAAGACCAACCATCCAGAGATCATCTTAAAAGGATTTTCTTCTTTCCTTTCACATAGATATGTACATATTTAAGGAGACCTGCTTCAGTACCAGAATTAAATGTAGGGCAAAGGAAACAGAATCAAAATCAAAGTGATGTAAGCTCTTTTTGCACCCCAAAAATCCTTTTCTCTTTTTTATCAGTTGCATAAAGTCATCAGACCTAACAAATAATTTCAGGCATATAGAAAAAGCTAAAAGAAAGGTTTCCTTGACTTTGAAAGCAAAGTCTCCAATTGGAGCTGGACTCCTGGTGGACATTAGACTCCCTGCAATTTTCTTGGCACAATACAAAAGTGATTTGCCATTGCCTTCCAGGATATTCTATCAGCTTCCCAGTACAGCCTTGTCTCCCATCCCAGTCATAAACAGGCCCAATTCTACTAGCTTCCAGGTCCAGACAAGGCTATTTATATACCTCTTTGCCTAAATGTACAAAATATCTCTCTAATTAGGCTGCCCTTACAGCCTGCAAAATCTTACATTTTAACATTAGAAAGCTATATGAATCAGTATTGGAGTCTCATACAAAGGCACCTTTAAGAAAGGTGAACCAGTATTTTAAATCTCTCATAAGGCAGCAATCCCATTGTTAATCAGAACTAACAGGAATAGACTGTCTTTAATTGTGGCATATTTAGCTATAATTAAATTACTGAGGCAAAAGAGGTAGCAAAGCATTTTGGATATTGAAAGGTCTGGACAAATCATCAACAGCAACTACAAAACAAACAACAGAAATGTTAGACTCTTGATAGCACTGTCCATTGGAGGGCTTTACCCTGAAGAAGGCTATAAAAGGGAGAAGATCCAACCCCACCATGTTGTCATACCCAAAGTCCTTGGGGAACAAATATACAATTGCAGTGGAGGAGCCATAGTGCTTTCAGAACAAGTAGTAGTAATGCTCCATCCAATCACACAAGGGGTCCCACCCCAGAAACTAAATGGAAAGAGTATAAGTGCACATTTAATTCCTATATCTTGGTCCTACCCAATATTTTATATAAACCTCATTTTCATTTTCACTTTCTTGCCTATTTTTGAGATATTTTTCTGTTCACAAGAATACCTCTCCCCATAAAAAAGTTTTCACTCAGTGAACATATTACTAGCCCTTTGAAATTGTCTGTGTGTGTATACATGCATACATATATACAAATGTATTATAGTGCAAAAAAGATTTATTGTTCAAATCTAAATTTGAAATATAAATAAATAAATAAATAAATGATTGTCTTCTTTTTCCCCCTAAAAGCAGGAAAACGTTGAATAAATGTTATCAAAATTGACATTTTTTTTAATAACTTGAAATCCACAAGGGGGAGCTGAAGTTGTTAAGAAAAAGCAGCACAGTCTATATTTGATGTGGCTGATGAGTAAGCAATGCTCTTGTCTAGGAGATCCAAGTTCTTTTAAACCAGGAGGCCTTGCAGAAGGATTGCAGGGTGACAAGGGCCATCTGAATCTCATCAAGTCCTGTGGTGACATCAGTTGCTGCATCTTAGTTAAAATTCAGCATCAGAATGTTCTCTGCCGTCAGAGTGTATTTGAGGGACTTTCTTGCCTTATCAACATTATCATTTTAATATGTATATTATTACAAATCTACACTACATGTTTATGCAAGGAAAGCTCAGTATTGACTTCCCCTTCCTCTCTTATCTGAAGATTTACCTACTCCGTTTCACAAACCACTTTTTAAATTTCTTCCTTTTCCATTTCAAAATATGCTTTCCAGGCCTTCTGGAACAGAAGCCTAGTGTACCTTTTTGCTTGAAGTAGGCTTATAGATCCAGATGACCTCTATATAGAAGCCAAGACTTTGACTTTTCCAACTTTATCTGCTGCCATCTAGTGGAGAAAATCACTAAGAATCAACAATGACTTGATGGCACATAATCAATCAATCAATCAATCAATCAATCAATCTAGTGGTTGTCTGCAATTTGTTCCCCATACAGGATATGTGTACCCTAGGGATTATCTTGCAAAAGTGGGCTAAATCATAGGCAAGGCTATGATCTTTAAATTATATGCTAGATTTTCATGGATATTATACCAAAATCACTAAGAATCAACATTAACTTGATGGCACATAATCAATCAATCAATCAATCAATCAATCAATCAATCTAGTGGTTGTCTGCAATTTGTTCATGGATATGTGTACCCTAGGGATTATCTTGCAAAAGTGGGCTAAATCATAGGCAAGGCTATGA